TTGTTTTTTCCTCTTATTTTTCTTGGGGGGGGAGCACAGGGAGGTCCGGCAACACGGATTAACGAGCACAAGTCGTGGCAACAATAGCATCGATTGAATTTTCCTGATCAACAACCATACTGTCCATATCGTGGATTTCAAAATGTCAGAGTTCATCCCCTTGAATTAAAGGTCAAAAAAGGAACAAAAAAAGTTGGATCTGAAATCAACAAAATGACAGCAAACTTGAGGTTCACCCAAAGCAAAGTGTTCCGACAGACGTGTCAAACGGCGAGGGGGAAAACATCGGCAGCCGACGTTCGCCGCTCCGAGGCGCTCGACTTTGACTCGGAGGACGAACGAAGACGCAACGAAGACGACCAAGAATGCAAACTTGCAATCGGGACAAGAAAGAGCGAACGGCGCGGATCCGCGAGGCTGCAGCCAAACACTCTCAGACGGGGGCTCGGGGCCTTTCCTGCCGCACCCCCCCCAGATGACCGCTGACGCGACCTTAAAGTCTTTCCGACAGGGGATTCTGCCAAACCCGCACGGTATGTTTGGGTGCGCCAGGTCAGACCGGCATCGAAACCCCCCAAAACCGACATAAAGAGGAGGAGTCGAGCGAGTGGCGCGAAGACGTCCGGTTGCCATGGTTACAGCCTCCCTCGAAAGGCACGCGCCCGTGCGCGCGCACGTTCGCGAGAGGCGAGCCGGTTTGGACGGGAGCTGGATGGCGACCGCCCGGCACACCTGACCGAGGACCCTCAGCGGAAGGGATGGAGGCGCCGCGCGCAAGCGGACGGGCAAGGTCGTAGGGGGGGGCGGCGGAGGAAGGACGGCCGCCGCGTGACCACTCTTGCGGTGAGCGTCGGCCGCCAAGGGGGCGTCTTGGGGGTCCGTTTTTCCTCTTTGATCTTTGCGGGAGGAATGAGAGGAAGTCGAGATAGATGGATTGATCGATCGATAAAGCTATTGATCTCTGAATAGACGGAGAGGGCGAGAAAGACACACACACGCGCACAATTTGCTCTCCTGTCGTCGTCGGCCAGGAAGCGTGACGTCATGGCGCTCCCCTGAGAGATGCCTCTGTTGCTAGGATACCGCAGGCTGACTTCTCGTGCCATTTTGGGGGGAGAGACGTCGTACGGGCGGAGGGGAGGGACGCCATGAGGCGATTTGGACATGGTGGCGGCCCATCGTCCGCATTTGCCATTTGGGAACGTTTGTCGCAAATCACCGTCGCCCCGATCGATGGATGGGAATGCCGCCGATAGCCAAAGGAGGGCGACGCGTCACCTTTCCGTTGGACTTTCTCAAAACAGACAGCGACGGCTCGGTGAGAGAGACCGTCAAGAGTGTCGACCGTCTTTTTTTGGCGCGGCTCCTTCCGCCGCGCGTGCCTCGGCCACCCGGGAGCGCCGTCGCACGGACACGGAGATGGTCGCAAGTCGTTCCTCGGCCACATGACGACCGGTCATTCTTTGCGGAGGATAAGTCTGGGGGCGGGAGTCTCGTCGTTTCCCCGTTGAGGCTCCGAGATCGCTCGGCAACACGCGCGCTCTTTGTGTCACGATTGTCGGCGGTCGGGGAGGCGAGGCGGGACTCGAGCGGCCCCGCCGGGTTGCGCTCCCGGAGCTGGGCGCTCCGCTTTGTGGCCAAAGCGCGCACGGCTTTTGTCGTGTCGCTGGAGATTCCGGAAGGGCAACCCTCGCTCCGTCCCGTTGCTGTTCTTGGCCCGGCCAGCAGGTGGCAGCCCGAGCGGACTTTCTGCTTGCGCACCTGCTGCCAATCAAGGGCCTGCCTGCGTATTTAAGGAGCCGCCTGCTGTCCGTCGCTTGGTTGTCGGAGTCTTCTTTTGGCCTTGTTGCTTCCTTGCTCGCACTCTTTGCTATCGATCTCGTCGTTTTCGTTTTTGACCTCTTCGTGCCGTTTGTTGTGTAAGGATGGCTTTGTTTTGTGATTTGGGCTTTTTCTAGCGTGTGGTGAATACATTGTTTTTCCTTTGCGTTCTCGGTTCTCGTTTTCCTCCCTTGCCTTTTGTGCAAGCGAGTTTTGTGATTGGTCGTTGAGCTCCCCGCCCCCCCGTTTTGACCAGCGCTTTATGTTACGATTTTGTCAGTGCGATTTTTTTTTTTGGACATGAAAACAGTTTTTGCTCCAGAGACCTTTTTGGACGTCTCCACTTATTGGGATCCCCAAACTTGATTCGGTGGGTCCGAATGGTGACGCGGTCTTCCGGCCCACGCGCGCACGAGTGGGGGGGCCGCTTCCGAAGCCGTCGGGACTCTCCCGATGGCCTTTTTGCAACACTGTTCTTCTGTGCTCAGGTCCCCCGGGCACGATGACGTCGCAGGAGGAGGCCTCTTCGACCTCGCGCGGCTTTTTCCACGACGTGGAGGAGCGATGCCTTCGGACCTACGACCGCCTGGTCATCCAGAACGCTTCGGACATCGCCAGAGAGAGCGACCGCCTTCGAAACGATGCCGACCGGGAGAAAAAACAGAAGAAGAAACGTCAAGGGGAGGCCATCAAAAGGTGAGCCCCCAGCGCGGTTTGACTTGGTGGCGGATGGACCGGCCGTCCCGCCCCGGACTCGGGGCTCGGTCCGCTCGCGTGGCTGCTGGCGTACGTCTTGCGCGTGAGCGTCGGGCGCTCGGCTTTGGAAATGGCGGTCGCCGCGGCCCGCGACTGCTTTTGGGGATTGTTTCCAAACGTGCGTCATTGCGATTTGCTTTCTCTCCTGCCGTGTTTTAGCCGCCGGGTGACCGAGTTCTTTGGCTCCTGTCATTTGCGCTTCCTCGATGTTTTTCGGCATCTTTTTGCTCGTGTGACTTTTCTTTTTTCTTCTCTCGGCCGCCTCATTTGTTTTCTGTCCGCTTTTTGTTGTCACCTTTGCCGCGATTCTTGAACACGCTCACGTTGAGGGTCCCCGCTTCAAGGTGCGACGGTCCGCGTCCTCGTCCAAAACGCCTCTCCCGGTTCGCGACGCTCGTCTATCGTCCGGGTCGACGTCGTCCCCGAGCCGGACGCTTTGAACGCCGCACGCTTCTCCCCGTTTCCGCAGGCCCGAGGAGGAGGCGTCGGGCGCGGCGGACGGGGCCTACCGCGGCAAACATTTGCGAATGGGTTTGGCGGATCTGCCGCCCGCTCCCGGCCAGGCCTTGGGCGTCCGCTCTCAGTCCCTCGACTCGGTGGGCGGCGACGCCGACGAGCGCAAGCAGCCGCCGCCCAAACCCAAGAGGGATCCCGGCACCAAACTCAGCGGCAGCTCCGAGGCGCTCCACGCGCAAGACGAAGGTGAGCGCCGTCCCGCCGCCGCCTTGGTCGGGACGCCGCTGGGCGGGGCCGCCACTGTCGGCCCTTGGAGGGGAGGGGCCG